CTCCCTCCCTCCCTCCTTCTATCTCTTGTTACTCTTAGGATCTCTCTTCCTCCTTCCATCTTCTTTACTGTATCCTCTGTGACCACCTACCCCTTCCTTCCCTCCCATCTCCTTCCTTTGTCTGTCCTTAATGTCTCTGCTCTAGGTGTTCAGAGACTCGAAATTGAGAGAGAGAGAATATGAGAGAGTGAATAAGACAGAAATATGGAGAGAGACAGAGAGGTCTAAAGAGGGAGGGAGTCAGGGAGGGAGGGAGGGAGCGAGCGAGCGAGGGAGGGAGGGAGGGAGGGAGCGAGGGAGGGAGGGAGAACAAGACCCAGACAGCAATATCTAAATTCTTCATAACATAAACACACGGTCACCGTAACAACTAAAAGTTACTCCTACATGACATAGCTTTTTTGTTTTTAGCTTCCCCGAAATAGACCGTCATTCTCACCACCAAAAGCTACACGAAAGCTAAACACAACCACTACTTTATTTAGCTCTCTTATGTAGCTCTTCGGAGAATTAATTATTCAAGGAAGAGAGAGAGATAGAGAGAGAGAGAGAGAGAGAGAGAGAGAGAGAGAGAGAGAGAGATGCTTATAAGTACATGAAATATCGAGAAAAGAAAAGAAAATAGCTCACATCAGGGCGTCACTGCCAGCCAACCTCAGAATACCTGGTTTAAATTGAGAAATAATGAAGACAAGTTGTTCGAGCAGTCACCTGGGGTCAACGAATTAGCTGAGTTTAGCGAATGAGTTGAGTTTAACGAATTTGTTGAGTTTAACGAATTAGCTGAGTTTAACGTGGCAGCAAAGTTTCCCTTACTCCCCTCTCTCATATAGCCTCACCTTCCTCACCTCCCTCACCTCACTTCCCTCACCTCACTTCCCTCACCTCACCTCACTTCCCTCACCCCATCTCCCTCACCCCATCTCCCTCACCCCATCTCCCTCACCTTACCTTCCTCACCTCACCAATCTCCCACACCTCCCTCACTTCACTCTTCACCTCACCCCCCACGTTATCTCCCTCTCCCTCACGTTCCCTCTCCCCACCTCTCTCCTCACGTTATCTCCTCTCCCTCACCTCACCTCTCCCTCACGCCATCTCCCTCTCCCCCTCACCCTCACCTCACCTCTCTCCCTCACCTCACCTCACCTCTCTCCCCTCACTCTATCTCCCTCTCCCTCACCTCTCCCCTCACGTTATCTCCCTCTCCCTCACCTCTCTCCCTCACGTTATCTCCCTCTCAGACACTCTACCTCTCACCTCTCCTCCCTCACTCTATCTCCCTCTCTCCCCACCTTCCCTCCCTCACCTCACACCTCACCTCTCTCCCTCACCCTATCTCCTCCTCTCCCTCACCTCTCTCCCCTCACCCTCACTTCTCTCCCTCACCTCTCTCCCTCACGTTATCTCCCTCCTCCCTCACCTCCCTCCCTCACTCTATCTCCCTCTCCCCACCTCTCCCCTCACTGCTATCTCCCTCTCTCCCTCACCTCACCTCTCTCCCTCACGTTATCTCCCTCTCTCCCTCACGTTACCTCCCTCTCCCCCTCACCTCTCTCCCTCACGTTATCTCCCTCTCTCCCTCACCTTACCTCCCACTTATACACACAGTTTCACCGGGGGAATGTGAGGAGGCTGTGGCGTCATCCAGGTGAACTATGCTTATCGCTGCCAACCCTCTGTGTTTTGCATGATTTACCTGACCTAATAACTGCTGCTGGCTACCTGATGCACCTCCTCCTGTACACGTCATCGTTGGCTGTCTTTCAATGTGTAGGCAGACCTCGTCCTTCCTACCCACCACCACCATCCCCACATCTTTAACCTACTTGATTTTTTTTTATCGGGGGGAGCGGGAGGAAGGGGCGGGAGGCTGATCTTTTGAGGGAAGCTTTTTTTTCTATTGCTTTCTATTTTTGTCAGTTTTTTTTTTTAAATGTTTTTGTCTTTTTCGTTTTGTTTTCGTGTTTGTATTTTTGTCAGTTTTTTTTTATTTTTTTTTATTATTCTTGTCTTCTCTGTCAATCATATTTCTCTCTTTTCTCCTTTTCCTTCTTTTTTTTTTCTTTTTCTGCTGTAAATAAATACAACCCTTGTTTTGTTTTCCTTTGCCTTTTTTAACTTTCTTTGCCTTGTTTTGTCTTCCTTTGTTTTGATTTGTCTTCCTACACCTTCTTTTGTTTTGATTTCCTTAGTTTGTCGTGATTTTTCTTATTTTGTCTTGATTTCCCCTTGTTTTGTCTTGATTTTTCTTATTTTGTCTTGAATTTCCTTGTTACGTCTTGATTTTCCCTTGTTTTGTCTTGATTTCCCTTGTTTTGTCTTGATTTTCTTGTTTTTTTGTCTTGATTTCCCCTTGTTTTGTCTTGATTTTTCTTATTTTGTCTTGAATTTCCTTGTTACGTCTTGATTTTCCCTTGTTTTGTCTTGATTTCCCTTGTTTTGTCTTGATTTTCCTTGTTTTGTCTTGTGTCTAGGGGCCAATAGACAAACTCCAGCCGGAACCAGATACAGCCAACAGCAATAATTTTCATTGATTTATTCAACCTTAATAAATGGTCATCCTTCTATCGGGAGACACTCTGTAACTCTGCTATACTAGACCGGATTGTTAGGGCTCTCTCTCTCTCTCTCTCTTCTCTGCATAATTTATCATAGCTCGGAGGATGAATACAAAAAGTGTGATAAATAGAGAGTTAAGGGTTGAGGAAATTGGTGGTGGGTATCCTGGTATAAATTTCAGGGAAGAGAAATAAAATATATATAATTTTTCTCTCTCTCATCTTCTACCTTGAGATTTAGTGAGGATTAACATTTGAACTTTCAAAACTATTGGTAGTAATGTATGATGTGTTTATTTATTTATTAGAGTGTGCGTGTGTGTGTATGTGTCTGTGTGTGTGTGTGTGTGTGTGTGAAATGCGTTAACATCATAGAATATTAAACACTAATGAAATTGAACCAAACACAGTCACTATATCACCCGATGAAGAATAATTCACGTAATCCATCTGAAATAAGTTATATTAAAGTAAAAGAGGAAAGATGAAGGAAGTCGAGGCACCTCTTCTCCTTCAGGTGGATGTGTTAACCTCTGTGTGACCCGGACAACACCCAGACCGATGCTGAACACAGAGACAAGTGAACAAGGGTGTCACATTACACTCTCAAGATGTATTGGGTCACACCTTAACTGAAATATGAAAACTATTGCGGTGGAAAATCTTAAATATATTGCTTGATAGAGAGAGCTGGGTGGATGATGATGACGATGGTGATGATGATGATGGTGATGATGGTGGTTGTGGTGGTGATGATGGTTGTGGTGGTGGTGGTGATGATGATGATGATGATGATGATGAAGATGACGATGGTGATGACGATGATGACGATGATGATAAAGATGATGGTGACAATGATGATGATGATGGTGGTTGTGGTGGTAGTGATGATGATGATGATGATGATAATGATGATATGATGATGATGATGATATGGTTAGGTGTGGTGTGGTGGTGGTGATGATGATGGTGGTGGTGATGATGATGATGATGATGGTGGTGGTGGTGGTGATGATGATGATGGTGGTGGTGGTGGTTGTGGTGGTGGTGATGATGATGGTGGTGGTGGTGATTAGATTAACATGTGGGGTCGTAGATGGCCCTGCTATAGTGAGTGGTTCTGTTATAAAATCTCAAACTTTATTTCCCACTTCGTAACTTTACCTTCCTCCTACACCGTCTTCCACCTTCAGGGCAAACGGCTCTCTTCTCTCCGTCTCATCAGTGAGTGGTTCATAATACTGGAATATGAGACGTGTGTGGGTCGAACACTGCTTGTTGAGAAGTTATGTAACACTACAGCTCGAACAACTGAAAAAGATAAAACAATTTTGAGTCAAAGTACTGTAATTCAACTAACAAATCCCATAATATAACACGGTATCGAATCGTTACTCGGAAGATAAATGAAACACAACTAAAATGTTTCCGAACACTGAAGTTTAAGTATCGTAGACATGCTAATTGAATGTGTTCAATGCAATAAAAACAGTAAAAGCTGCAGAGTGAGGTACAGTTTTATTGGAAAGTTTATATATATATATGACCGATTCGCCAAATTTTCGTTCATCTTTGTTTGCAATTCTTCTCAACCTCCTCGTCCTTCTCGCATCAGATTCAGTAAGTTAGGATTATCTCAGTGATTATTAAATTTTATGGATTACCTGAAGGTTAACCACCCATAACTTATTTCACCTGAAGAACAACCACACTATTGTTACCTAATGTTCTGTTAGTTTAGGTTAGGTTAGGTTTGGTTAGGTTAGCAATAGAATGGTTAATCTTGAGGTGATCTTATTTAATATATTCAGTGGTAATTACAATGCGTCAGTTTGTCAGGTGGATTTATGAAGGGACAAACGTGTGGGTGTATTACTGCCCAGCCGTCCCAACATACAGGATAACCTATCGTCCACCTTGTGTTTCGTCATCCTGTTTCCTAATCAAGTATTTCCCGGTAGCTTGAAGATTCATCCCCCCCTCCCCCTCCCCCCCCCTACCCCCAGAAAATAAGAGATCATAAAGAGAGAAAGGGTGAGAAAAGAATCGGGGGAAGGAGAGATAAGAAGAGAATTTCAGAGAGGAGAGAACGAATGAGAGGGGAAGAGAGAGAGAGAGACGGAGAGAGAGAGAGAAAGAGAGATACAGTGTGTGTATAAGACAGACAGACAGACAGACAGACAGAAAGACAGGCGGTTACAATACAGATAGACAGACAGACGCGAAGGCCTTTTAACACACATAGAACCCCCTCCTCCCCTCACACACACACAGGGAGGATGGAGGTTGCAGCTAAAGTAGGCAATACGGACACTGAGATGCACAAGAGGTAACGGGGTGGTCAGGTAGTTTAGCATTTTGGACACATCACCACCTGAGTTATGACGTCATCACCCCTGCCATCACATGTAGCATAAATATTGTTCTTTGTTTCAGCAGGCGAGGAGCTCCGTGACGTCACCCCCTGGTTGTGTTTACCTTCGTGACGTCACTCAAGTTGGATACACTCTTGTGACGTCACTCCTCAAGCTGGACACACTCTCGTGACCTCAGTTTCCGGTAAGTCTTTATCATCTTGTTATACATTTGACGTCACCCCGTAGATTTTATTTACCTTCACGACGTAGCTGTGACTTCACTAAAAGGAGTGGCTTATTTGTGATGTCACCTCGTGTGTGTGTGTGTGTGTGTGTGTGTGTGTGTGTGTGTGTGTGTGTGTGTGCGTGCATACCTTAACACCAGCAGGTTGTACCATAATGTGAAACAAACAGAGAGTAACATAATTAATCTTGAGACGAGTAAGTAATAACTCTACCTCAGATGTCTGTCTGCACGCGTTAAGGGAGACTCAGTAGAGGCGGCTGTCATTAGTGTTGACATAATGTGACAGCTGACACGGTATTACTATCTTATACAGGGAAAGTCTTGTGCATTATATTTTTATTGAATATGACCTGTTGTGTTAGCACTGAGTCTCTCTCTCTATCTCTCTCTCTCTCTCTCTCTCTCTCTCTCTCTTGAGGATGTGAGGGAGGTGTTAGGAGAGATGTAAGTATAAGGTGTAACATAAGTGAGTCACAAGGAGGCCGTCATGGTCGATTTGGTTAATGGTTGTTTGGGTTAATGGCAGATTGGGTTAATGATCTTCTCTGGCAATTTAACATTACCATTCATTGGGGTTTTTTTTTCGTGTCCATGCAGCTGTATCGTTTATTCTAAATTACGTGGATGTTACAGAAAACTTGATGTGTACTGTATATAACATGCTTAAGGAGCTGGGCAAATCACTCACAAGTTGATGGAGTAATTAATGAGTGGAGGTTTGTGTCGCCGCCTCCTACACGTCTCGCCGCTAACCGATACCTGTGTCTTAATCACCATATTCAACACCCTAACGTCACCTTAGCCTCAGAAAAGATAAACAAAAAATAGCTAAAAAAAATCCTAAGGAAATCTATTTTATGAGAACCTCTTTTGTATGTTTCCATTGTTATAAATCCGAGGAGCACCAGAAAGCCACCTTGAGGTACGCCAGTGTTGCCATAAGCCACCCATCATCGCTCCCTGTACTAGAGGCTGAGAAATATTTCCCAAGCCTTCACTACCTCTAGGTCCCTTGCCCCCAGGATATGGTAACACGCCCTCTTAGAGCACGGCACAGTCCGCCTTGTGCCACTCGGCCGCTAGACTCAATATAACAGCAGAGGCGGGGACGCAAATCAGATAACAATTATTTATGCACTACGGACATTTCAAAGTTTCAACACCGGAGTTCTTTCTGGAGAGAGTGTGTGTGCGCGCGTGTGTGTGTGTGTGTGTGTGTGTGTGTGTGTGTGTAAAATGGTGTATTGCGGTGTTATAGGGACGGGGAGGAACGGTGGTACCTGAGGGGGGTGACAACAGTGTTAGGCTGGGGTAAAGTGAGGCTATGACTGACGGATGACGAAGGTGAGGGTTAAAGCTTCATGTGTGTGTGTGAGTAATGCTGCTTATGATAGTATCCTTAGGTCTCTCTCTCTCTCTCTCTCTCTCTCTCTGGCTTACCCCAACACTCATTGATGGACCGAGAAAATTGCAAAATTGCTAGACAATATATCTGTCTTCTCTATTAACCTGTCGTACATCCCATTGTGTTCAAGATAGAATGACTTAGGATGATTTTTATGCGTGATATATCCCCTCGTGACGTGTGTGTGACGTCATTCCCTTTACGACAGAGATGACGTCACTCTTCAGGCAATATGGCATTTAAGACGTCATTCCCTGGGTTATATGACGTCACTCTTCAGGCAAAAGGCATTTAAGACGTCATTCCCTGGGTTATATGACGTCACTTCTTAGATTATGTAAAGTATATGTGACCTCACTTCCTGGGTGATGTAAAATATATGACGTCACTCCTTGGGTGATTGACCTGTGTGTAACGTCACTTCCTGTTCATTTTGAGGTTTATTATATTTGTTCAACTCTTCTGGTGTTATTATAAGTAATGTTCTGATCCAAAGTGTTTGTTATATCTGAAATAATACTTTTTTGAAAAAGAAACTAATGATTAGTATAGCTGTTAGGTAAAGGCTGCATCTTTGGCTCTGTGTGTGTGTGTGTGTGTGTGTGTGCGCACGTTATTGTTATATATAATAATATAATAATAATAATAATTAACGGTTTATTGAAGAGCTTGGTAGCCAGAAGGCTGAAAATATACAGTTACATATTTGGGGAATAGGTTTCCAATTACAAATAATATACAAGGCAGCATAAGTGACACAAATGAACATATATGTGTGTGTGCGTGTGTTTGTCTATAAATATATATATATATATATATATATATATATATATATATATATATATATATATATATATATATATATATATATAATCCACAATAAACGATGGGTAAGATAAACTCAACCATTACCAACAATAAAATAGCCAAGTTTGAATGTAAATGGAAGTGTTTATTGTATTCCATGTAGCAAATGTAATGGTAATTATGTAGGACAGACAGGAAAAACACTGCAGCTCAGAATCAAACAACATAAGTACAATATCAGAACAGCATCTGAAAGCAGTGCCTTGTTCGTTCATGTTAGAATAATAATCATCCCATTGCTTAAAAAAAGCTTAGAAGTATTTAAATCATCTTGTGTCACAGAAAGACTTCTGTTAGAAGCTAGTTGATTAAGGAATTAAAAATCAATAAACCTTAGTGATGCATTGTCAGTTCAAAACTGATAATATATGTTACATAAATTTATTTGTCAGTGCCCCAAGGTTAAAAATGCTTGAAACCTTTGATCTAGATTATGATAGTTATTTAGTGGGTCCATTTTGACCTGACCTGACTAGTCACGTCGCCCCTCTTAAGCCCTTCGTGTGTGTTGGTGTGGGGATTAGTGGATGACATCATTATGACCTGACCTCATGTTTAATAAGGTCACCCTGTATATTTAAGCCCTCTCTCTGTCCATGTAACTAGTTGCCTCTGAAGATGTCTTGAATAAAGACGAAAGCCAAGGTGCTCCGTTGTTTCTTTTCACGTGAAAATATATATATATATATATATATATATATATATATATATATATATATATATATATATATATATATATATATATATATATGTGTGTGTGTGTTTTGTGCATGTGTGAGAGTTTCTGTGTAAAAGAGGGGAATAGTGCGTCCGTCCCTCAGCTGACTGCCTGGCACCACCCATAAACACCCCTGGCTGGCGCTGGTAACAAATGAGACATCTGGCGGCAGAGAGTCGAACCCTTGTACCCAACTTTCCCTATTAGGCACCTGTGGGGCTCTCGTCTGCTAAATGATATTACGCTTTATGCTGGAGATTTAATTGTTCCTCCCCAAATGAATATATGATAACCTCTTGAGTATCGTTCATGTTACTGTAAGGCTGGTCTCTTCTATATTAGTACAGTTTGCATTATTATTATTATTATTAGTAGTAGTAGTATCACATTACTGCATTATTATTATTAGTAGTAGTAGTAGGCATGACGAAGTAAGGGATCTCACAGCAAATATGTTGAAGGAAATCTGCCGTGATGTCAGGGTAGAACCGACCCTCCTTCCAATGGATGGTGAGAATTTCCAACATAGGACTTCAAACACATCTAACGAAGCCCGTGTTGACGTCAGTGCTCGAGTATTCTGGACGCTGGGACAGCGAGCCTTCTTCGACATCAGGATTTTTGATCCCATGGCCGCATGTCACCGTAACTTAGCTCTCGATGCTGCACACCTGAGAACGAGAACGACAAGATAAGGGCATACGGGGAGAGAATTCAGAACGTTGATCAAAGCAGCTTCACTACCCTAGTGTTCGCAACCTCTGGTGGGATAGGACCAAGTGTAAGATGCTTCTACGCCAGACTCGCGGAGGTAATATCCGAACAGAAGCAGCAGCCCAGAAGTTATGTTACAGCCTGGATGAGATGTCGACTGTCCTCTCACCTTCGGTCGGCTTTGCTCTGCCTCAGGGGAACGAGAGCTTCTGCCCCAACTCCGACAACTGCTACAGATATCGACTATGAGGCTACAGTCACTGAATGCCGCATAGATCTGCGGCTCAACTAATTCAACACAGATAGGATAGTTTCTTATGTATTAGGATATTTAATATTAAGGTAAATAAATGGTGGCGAAGGTGTGGCTATTGGGGGAGGCTGGAGACAACTAAAAAAAAGTAGTAGTAGGAGTATCACATAACTGTATTATTATTATTATTATTATTATTTATCATTATTATTATCATTATTATTATTATTGTTGTTGTTGTTGGTGTTTTGGTTGTTGTTGTTGCTGTAGTTGTGTTATATACTGTACAGTATGTATATAGGGACATAGATAAACATGGCAAATCATGAATAATATTTTGATAATCAAGTCTTGGAGGCGGCCGTCACCAGTGAATTACAACATTATCTTCTACCAAAACACATCTAGTAGCGTGTGGCCAATAATATATATATATATATATATATATATATATATATATATATATATATATATATATATATATATATATATATATATATATATATATATATATATATGTGTGTGTGTGTGTGTGTGTGTATGTGTCTATCTCTTTGTGTGTGTGTGTGTTTCTGTTTCTGTGTGTGTGTGTATGTGTCTGTATCTGTGTGTGTATATGTGCGTGTGTATGTATGTGTGTGTGTGTGTATGTGTCTGTGTGTGTGTGTGTGTCTGTATCTGTGTGTGTATGTGTCTGTATCTGTGTGTGTCTGTATATGTGTGTGTGTATGTGTCTGTATCTGTGTGTATGTGAGTGCCACCAAGAAGGCCAGTGTAGGAAACACTCACAACATATACACTCCGGTAAAGCTTAAAATAAGTTTATTATTTTTGCATAAATATAAAAGTCAAATAAATAAGAAAATAAGAAAAATATTCCTCAAGAAATCTCTGTGTCAGGTAGAATTCATCACCAGTTACGAGTGATGGAAAGAAATTATGCTGAAAAATTATATTCCTGACCCCGCAATATATAAACATATCTTCCAGTATGGTGT